GGTATGAGAAAACCTTGGCGGGTAGGATCAAGGAAAACCCCAAGGCTTTCTCTATTTATGTGAGGAACAAGAGTGAGGGTAGGGCCAATCAGGGATAGTGGGGGGAACTTGTGTGCGGAGTCAGAGGAGGTAGGGGAGGCCCTTAATGAATATTTTGCTTCAATATTCACCAGAGAGAGGGACCTTGACGTTTGTGAGGACAGCATGAAACAGGCGGACGTGCTCGAACAGGTTGTTGTTAGGAAGGAGGATGTGCTAGAAATCTTGAAAAATGTACGGATAGATAAGTCCCCTGGGCCAGACAGGATATACCCAAGGTTTCTAAGGGAAGCGAGGGAAGAGATTGCTGCCCCTTTGGCAATGATCTTTGCATTTTCACTGTCCACTGGAGTAGTACCAGAAGATTGGACGGTGGCACGTGTCATTCCCTTGTTCAAGGAAGGGAACAGGGATAATCCTGGAAATTACAGACTGGTCAGTCTTACTTCTGTGGTGGGCAAATTATTAGAGAGGATTCTGAGAGATAGTACTTAAGATTATTTGGAAAAGCACAGTTTGATTCGAAATAGTCAGCATGGCTTTGTGAGGGGCAGGTCATGCCTCAGGAGTCTTATTGAATTCTACGAGGATGTGACAAAACATAGCGATGAAGGTAGAGCAGTGGATGTGGTGTATATGGGTTTTAGCAAGGCATTTGATAAGGTTTCCCATGGTAGGCTCATTCAGAAAGTAAGGAGGCATGGGATTCAGGGAAATTTGGCTGTCTGGATACAAAACTGGCCATCCAATAGAAGACAGAGGGTGGTAGTAGATGGAAAGTATTCAGCCTGGAGCTCGGTGACCAGTGGTGTTCCGCAGGGATCTGTCCTGGGACCTCTGCACTTTGTGATCTTTCTAAATGACTTGGATGAGGAAGTGGAAGGGTGGGTTAGGAAGTTTGCTGATGACTCGAAGGTTGTTGGAGTTGTGGACAGCATGAAGGGCTGTTGTAGATTGCAGCGGGACATTGATAGGATGCAGAGCTGGGCAAAGAAGTGGCAGATGGAATTCAACCCAGAAAAGTGTGAGGTGCTTCATTTTGGAAGTTCGAATTTGAATGCAGAATACAGGGTTAATGGCAGGATTCTTGGCAGTGTGGAGGAACAGAGGGATCTTGGGGTCCACGTCCATAGATCCCTTAAAGTCGTGACCAAGTTGGTAGGGTTGTAAAGAAGGTGTATGGTATGTTGGCTTTCATTGGCAGGGGAATTGAGTTTAAGAGCCTTGAGGTTATGCTGCAGCTGTATAAAACTCTGGTTAGACTACACTTGGAACATTGTCTTCAGTCCTGGTCACCTCATTATAGGAAAGATGTGGAAGCTTTAGAGAGGGTGCAGAGGAGATTTACCAGGATGCTGCCTGGACTGGAGGGCAAGTCTTGTGGGGAAAGGTTGAGGGAGCTAGGGCTTTTTTCATTGGAGAGAAGAAAGATTAAAGGTTTACAAGATGATAAGAGGCATAGATAGAGTGGATAATAAGAGACTTTTTCCCAGGGCAGAAATGACTTTTGTGAGGGAGAGTAATTTTAAGGTGATTGGAGGAAGGTATAGGGGAGATGTCAGAGGTAGATTCTTCACACAGAGCGGTGGGCGTGTGGAATGCG